GACAAGTGGCTCAGGTACAGTGAAAGGTTTCATTGTTACACGCGGGTTACGTCATGTTGCTGATGGTTAAATCTGGGTGGATGGATTCATGAATGTACAATGTTCCTGGGAAAAGCATGGAGCAAAAACAAAACAAAACCTTGACGTGGACAGGTTCAAAACTTTTGGGTTGGCTGGACACGGCTCATGTCTGTAATCGCAGCACTCTGGGAAGCCGAGACAGGTGGATTGCCTGAGCTCAGGAGTTCAAGACCAGCCTGGGGAACACGGTGAAACCCGTCTCTACTAAAATACAAAAAAAAAATTAGTGGGTCATGGCGACATGCGCCTATAGTCCCAGCTACTCAGGAGGCTGAGGCAGGAAAACTGCTTGAACCCAGGGGGCAGAGGTTGCAGTGAGCCAAGATCTCACCAGTGCACCCCAGCCTGGGCAACAGAGGAAGACTCTGTCTCCAAAAATAGAAAACAAAAGTCAAAAAACTAAAAAACTGTTGGGTTAAAACACATTCCAGCAGGGGCAGGCTAGGCTAACTTTTCCTATAAAGGACCAGAGAGCAAATACTGTCAGCTGTGCAGGACAAAATCTGTTAAAATAGTCCATCCTGCCATCATAACATTAAAGTAGCCACAAATAATCCTGAAACAAATGAGCCTCACTGTGTGCGAATAAAACTAACTGGCCTGCGGCCATAGTTTGCAGCCCATTCCACAGATTTCTCGACTTTGTGAAGGGGAGGGAATGCAATGTTACATCAGAAAAGCAGAATGCAAAATTACAGATGAAATTAGGTAACGACGCCAACTGGGTGGGCACACAGACCTACAGAATGAAGCCGGAGGTGGTGACAGGTGTGTAGATGACACCACCAACTTACAGTGAAGACCAACCAACTACCCAGCACAAATGTAAAAACTACTCAATTCTAGGCAATCTGTCCCTTTTCACAAGCCCCTACTGGCCTCCTGGTGTCTGTCTACTTCTACTTGGTGGAGCTGGTCCTCTAGGCACTACAGCTAGTCAAATTAAAGGCTGAAAGATTATGACAGAAATACGTCGTTAATTCAAACCATGCATTTATGCATTCTCACTGACTCAGCTGTGCCCTTCACAGGTAAGAGTGAGATTTTCTCCTGGTTGCCTCTTAGTCATTACCACGGTTGGGCGCAGTGGCTCATGCTTGTAATCCCAGCACTTTGGGAGGCCAAGGTGGGTGGATCACAAGGTCAATGGTTTGAGACCAGCCTGACCAATATGGTGAAATCCCATCTCTACTAAAAATACAAAAATGAGCCAGGCATGGTGTGTGTGCCTGTAATCCCAGCTACATGGGAGGTCGAGGCAGGAGAAATCACTTGAACCTGGGATCTGGAGGTTGTGGTGAGCTGAGATAGAGCCACTGCGCTCCAGCCTGGGCAACAGAGTGACTCTCCATCTTGGGGGAAAAAAAAAAAAAAGCCATTGCCCCACCTCCTTTACCTGCCTTCACTTTACACCTTTTTAGTTATCATCTTTTTCAAAAGAGCTGGTGTGGGTGATGTGGCACTGAGATTCATGAGCACCATAATGTGAATCACAGCTGGACATGCTGGCACACACAGTCCTAAGCTCCTAAGGCTGGAGCATGACTTGAGCTCAAAAGTTCGAGGCTGCTGCCACTGCACTCCAGCCTAGGCAACAGGGTAAGACTCTGCCTTTAATAATAACAATTATGAAAGACAATATGACATGACTCTAAATTTATGGATTGAAACCCTGCTTTGAGAGAGACTCCAAGATGACCAGAGACCAATGCATATCACAATGTGGGGGCTGGCAGTGAGCTGGGCACTTCACTCTGCTTAAGAGGGGTGTTTCCGGCCGGGTGCGGTGGCTCAAGCCTGTAATCCCAGCACTGTGGGAGGCCGAGGCGGGTGGATCACGAGGTCAAGAGATCGAGACCATTCTGGTCAACATGGTGAAACCCCGTCTCTACTAAAAATACAAAAAAAAATTAGCTGGGCATGGTGGCACGTGCCTGTAATCCCAGTGACTCAGGAGGCTGGGGCAGGAGAACTGCCTGAACCCGGGAGGCGGAGGTTGCGGTGAGCCGAGATCGCGCCATTGCACTTCAGCCTGGGTAACAAGAGCGAAACTCCGTCTCAAAAAAGAGGGGTGTTTCCTACGAGCAAGAAAACACAGGGACATACTGGAGAATGAAAGACTCTACAAGGGCACCAAGAGTGGGGAGGAAGTTCACTTCTTAGCACAAATAATTAAAATGAGAGGAAAGTTTAAGAGTAAAAAACGGGTTTAAACTCAGTCTTGGGCTGCCCCTGGTGTCGATCAGAACATTTCTCAGGATGACATCACACCGGTCTTCTGGAATTTTCCCATTTCAAACAAAAGCATAAGAACGAAGCTCATAATCCTCATTTAAGTTTAAAACTGTATGCCAACTTCCATGTAAGTGGTCAAGATCATGCCCTTTGGGAATTTGGGAAGCCAAGAGGGAGATGAGTGAAATGCAAATGACAATCTGCATGGTTCATGACCACACTGCTGGGGGCTGAAATGTTCCAAAACGCACCAGCTTAACCCACAGGCCTGTTACACATAAGTGGAAACAAAACTGAGCTCCTGAAACAGACCCACAAGTGGGAAAGGTGATATTTCAATCAACTGCTCTAAATTTCACCCACTGGGAAGCAGCCTGGATGAGTAAGCAAGAGTGTATCATGCCTCTAAGTTTCTTCTCAAAGCAGCTGCTGGCTGACTCAAGGTGTCCCTGGAACCTGCCTACACTCATTGAGGACACAAAGGGTACAGGGCTAGCACAGTGTTTCTAGAGACACCATGACCCAACATACCCAGCAACATTTTAACCATGACCACCAAGAGCCCGTGCTGGGTGGGAAAGCCAAACTAGACCTTTGATGGCCATGAGGAGAGATGGAGCCATGCCAAGAAGCCAGGAACACACACATGAAAGGCAATGACACACACTGTACTCAGGGTGCAGAGACATTGGAGCCTGGGTATCTCAATGAAGAGGTGACGTTAATCTTTTCTTCAATGATCTTTCTTCAATGATATTACCCTGGGCACTTCATTGTAATTTTAAAAGAAAGTTCTGGAAAAAAGGTTATACCAGTCAGTATCCAGACACTCAAGATGTGGCTTCAGGCAAGATGACTTTTCTTCTCATCTTGCCCTCCCCACTCATCAGGTACAGAATCCAATCTATGGGGATTAGGAGGAGGAAGGGCATGGCTTTTTTTTTTTTTTTTGAGAAAAGGGAACACTGAAAGCTACGCTATTTTAACATCAGAGCTTGCAGCTTCCAAAGACCCTCAAGTTCCTGGTTGACAAAGTAGGAACTGAAGACTGACTCAAGGCCCAAAGATGACCAGTCAGTGAGAGCTGACAGTGTCTCAATTGCTGGATTTATATCTGATACACACCCCCAAAGGTACACAAAAGGCCATTCCTACATCTTTACAGAAGCCTTTGATGGACAATGCTGTCCTAGGGAAATAGGCCAAGGGGTCCCCACCTTCCAGGCAATGTTAACCTCACTTTCAGCCTTCTCTTTCTTCAGGTAAAAGCAAGCCATCCAGATAACTCCCTACATGCACTGCTGGGAGGCCTTCTTGCAGACTGAGTCCATCATACAAGAAGCAGACACATCCAGTGTCTACTTCTGTCCAGACAATCGAACTGAACTGGCTGCAGAGGGATGCTTGGATGTAAATAGCTGTCAACCTCTCATCTCAGTAACTTTCAGAATGTAAAAGCAGCAGAATGAAATGAAACACCATTTCAGATGAGAACAGCTAAGGAAGCAAAAAACTTGGCAGGGATCTATCACTTTGTGAGAACAATGTTCTTGTCTGCCTTTAATTCCATCCTAACTTCCACAAAATAAATAACCCACAGAAGTCAAGCCCCCCAACTCTCACCCTGACAGGTCAGTGCATGAAGGTTCTGGAGAGAAAAGACACAAAGCGTGCCTCATCTCCTCAGGTGCAGCCAAACTGGCATCTTGCAGACTCAGAGTCCATCATACTACCTAAGTTTACTCCCCTACAGATGTGGCCAGCTTGTCCTTTGAGTCCACTGAGGAGTAACAGCCACTTACTGGTAAGGAACTTTGAGACCGACAGAAACCAAAACCCAGGGCAGCGACTATCACACTCCCATAGAACCTGTAGCACTCCCTAGGAATGCCTCACCACCTTTCTACTGAAAATGTGATTGAGTTCAGGAGTTCAAGTCCAGACTGGGCAACATGACAAAATCATCTCTACCAAAAATACAAAAATTTTGGCAGAGACGGTTTTGCACACCTCTGGTGTGTACACCTGTGGTCCCAGATACTCTGGAGGCTGAGGAGGAAGGATGGTGCACGCCTGTGGTCCCAGGTACACTGGAGTCTGGGAGGCAGAGCCAAAAATGTGCCACTGCACTCCAACTTAAGTGACAGAGTGGGACCCATGTCAAAAAACAAGCAAACAAAGGGACGAAATATCTAAGGATGCAGAAATAAGGTGCATCAGACAAAGCTTTAGACTAGGGTCTAGCGTACAGAATGAAAGAATAAAAGAAAACATGCACATCCCTGAGTAGAAAAAAGATGGCAAGATAACAGATATCTTTGGCTAATTTTTATTATTACTTTATACATGTTTTTTCCAACTCCATGAAATACCATGTATATAGTTATCAATCAGAAACTAAGGGGAATAAATACTTTAAAAGGAGGACTTAAATGGCCAGGGATGGGTGGGGGCCCAAGGCACAGCAGGAGAGACACATGGCTTAGTCAGGATGGTGCCCACTCTGAGTTTAGTAACTGCTTTAGGGGGTGTGTGTGGGGAGAGTCAGAGAGCAACATGCTGGGCAACATGAGGCCCATGGGCCTTCCCCAGCTTCCTATGTCATTCCTAGGTTCTCTCAGATGCCATGCTAGGCTTGCCTCGTCTAAGAAGGGAGCCATATCAAGCAGGTGCTCCATTACCCAATGCCCTTCCACCAGTTCTTCCCATGCCTCTGTCCTGTCTACGGACCCATGGCCAAAAGCCAGACAGAGGGGGGCAAAGGTCTTTCCTCAGGTATCCAGTAACACAAATCAGTCCAGTCTCCTCCACCCTGAGCAGATGAGGAAAGCAGCAGAGCTCCTTCCCTGAGCTGGCCTAACACAGAAGAGCCAGCATGGTGCTAAAGCAAGGCCATAATCAGACACTGTGGTATCACAGGGTAGAGGCCTTATTAGCACAGAAGACGAGAAAGAGACTTCAGCAGCAGAGATACGGAACTAAGAGGAGGATCAGGTGCAGGGCATGAGAGAGGAAGGTGGCTGGTACATGGAGGAAGTGGAACTCCATGCTTGCACATCTGTGTATATCCAATAGAAATCTAATGTGGCTACTCAGGCTATTTTAAATTTTCTAGGAGCCATATTAACAGACAAAGTAGGTAAGTTTACGAATATATTTCACTGAACTCAACATATCCAAAACACCATTTCAACATGTAAATGTGTAACATTTTTTCTCCCCACTAAATCTGTGAAATCTACGTGTGCATGCCCCACAGTCACAGCACAATTAGGGTGCTAATATTTTTTTTTTTTTTGAGACAGAGTTTCGCTCGTTACCCAGGCTGGAGTGCAATGGCGCGATCTTGGCTCACCGCAACCTCCGCCTCCTGGGCTCAGGCAATTCTCCTGCCTCAGCCTCCCGAGTAGCCGGGACTACAGGCATGCGCCACCATGCCCAGCTAATTTTTTGCATTTTTATTAGTAGAGATGGGGTTTCACCATGTTGACCAGGATGGTCTCGATCTCTTGACCTCGTGCTCCACCCGCCTCGGCCTCCCAAAGTGCTGGGATTACAGGCGTGAGCCACCACGCCCGGTCTTTTTTTTTTTTTTTTTTTTTTAAGATGGAGTTTTGCTCTGTCACCCAGGCTGGAGGGCAATGGTGCGATCTTGGCTCACTGCAACCTCCCCCTCCTGAGTTCAAGTGATCCTCCTGTCTCAGTCCCCCAGTAGCTGAGATTATAGGCACCTGCCACCATGCCCAGCTAGTTACTGTATATTTAGTAGGCACAGGGTTTCACCATGTTGACCAAGCTGGTCTTGAACTCCTGACCTCAGGTGATCCACCATACCTGGCCTCGGTTGCTAAATTTTTACGCAAAATATATGATCTGCATTTAGATTCCATAAAACTTGCAGCTAAAAAAGTAGATTCACATACCCAAGGTATCCCCAACACATCTGGATATTTTTCATTAACTCAACTGAGCATCAGTTTTGAAAATTAATTAGAACTTGATTAAAGTAATTCATTTCCTCAGTACACTAGCCACATTTTTTGATGCTCAAAAGACACGAGGTTAGTACTGACCTGTGAAAATCTACGTTTTACTGGCTAGGAGGGGGAGGGGCAGGCATTTTAAAAACTCCGCTCTGGGGCCACAGGGATGGGGAATATTACACATTCAGGCTGGTTAGACCCCAGTCAGTTTCACACCCATCACATTCATCACCCACAAACCTACCTGTGCTTTAAATTAACCTGCTCAACTAAATGTTCCTATTTAAGAGAAAACATTAACATAGCATTACTATTAACACATCACCTGTGATGTGTGAACCTGTGTGAATGGGGGAAACACATGGGAACTATCAACATTGGATACAATCATTGTTGAGTTTCCTGTATGCAAAAATATTTATGTGGTTTTAGAGGACAATACCTTTATTCTTTTTAAAAAAAAATAGTAAAAACTTCAATAATGTCATGGTAAAATAAATGTCACATAAAATTTACCACTTTATTTTTTACCGGATAGTTTGGTGGCATTAAGTACATTTACACTGTTAGGCAACCACGATCCAGAACCTTTTAATTTATGTGTGTGTGTATATATATATATATATATATATATATATACATATATAGATATAGATTAGATATATATATATTTTTTTTAAAGACAGGGTCTTGTTATGTTGCTCAGGCTGGTCTCAAACTCCTGGGTTCAAGCAATCTTCCCGCCTAAGCCTCCCCAAAGTGCTGGGACTATAGATGAGCCACCACACGGGGTGCTTCAGAACTTGTGGTGCTTGCAAAACAAAATCTGTACTCTATATATCCATTAAATAACTCTAGCAACCACCATTCTACTTTCTGTCTCTATGAAAAGTGACTCCTATAGGTACCTCGAGTGAAATCACAGTATTTGTCCTTTTGGGGTTGTCCTATTTCACTTGGCATGATGTCTTCAAAGTTTATCCACATTGTAGCACCTCTGAATTTCTTTCTTTTTTTTTTTAAAAAAAAAGAGAATCTCTCCCTTTGTCACCCAGGCTGGAGTGCAGTGGTGTGATACAGGCTCACTGCAACCTTCACCTCCCAGGTCCATCGATTCTTGTGCCTCTGCCTTCTTGAGCAGCTAGGACTAAAGATACGTGCCACTATGCCTGGCTAATTTCTGTATTTTTAGTAGAGATGGGGTTTCACCATGCTGGTCAGACTGGTCTCAAACTTCTGACGTCAGGTGATCTGCCTGAATGTCCTTCCATTTTAAGGCTGATTATGATTAATACTTCACATTTGCTTATTTATCCATCCGTCAATGGACATGGGTTGCTTCTATAACACCTTTTGGCTATTGTACGTAGTGCTGCTATCAACATGATCATACAAATGCACGTTCCAGTCCCTGCTTTCAAAGGAGAGCGCCCTTAAGAGATGTTTGCTGAAGTACCTAAGAGTTAATATCACATCTGCAACTTATTTTGAAAGGATTTATGGAGGGCTGGGAAGGATCACCTGAGGCTAGGAGTTCTAGGCTGCAGTGAGCTATATAATCTGCACTCCAGACTGGATGACAGAGCAAGACCCTGTCCCAAAAATAAATAAATAGAAGGAAAGAACTGAAACACAGGATCCAGTTATAAACTTGGACAATTACCTGTCAAAAATCAGCTCCTACCCAAAAGCTGTTTAAGATGCACAGGCAGAATTCACCCAGAACTACAGGCACTGCCCTCACCCCATCCACACCCTCAGCTGGCTTCTCCTGCTGGTGTGCAGATAACAGAACAGCTTCACAGTCTTCCCTTGTTCCTACCAAACCAGCAGAGCAGCTGGTGCTACACAGGCTGGTGTGCTGCCCACCAGACATGCAGGGCTGCCGAAAGGAGGAAGTCAACGCCCGAGGGTGGCTGCTAAGCAAAGTGGCCAGTGCCCGACCCAGCAGATTGAGGAGGGCTGAGTTCTGAGCAGACTACTCTGTGAATGGCATGAACGAGCTCTTTCACTGGCACCAGAGAGAGAACACGCAACAGTATCATCTGCTGAGGGGAGGGAAAGGTCAGAGGAGCAGGCACCGACTCCTTAGCCCTCCACAGCCACCAGGTCCCCACTGTGCCAAGGCGGCTGCAACCGGCAAGCCCCCTCCTCCGCCTCTGAACATGAGAGCTAAACAAAGTCAGGTACAGTTTCTTGGTTTATTACCCAGGGAAAGCAAACTACAGAGCCACATTAGAAATGCTTCATGTCTTTTACCTCTGGTTGCCTTTGTTCAGCACCCCCCACTTCCTGGCCCAGGCCCCACAGTTCTGTTTCTGGGTTCTGACAACTAGTGCTCTGAGGCAGAGGCCAGGCCCTGAAGTGAGAATCTAGGCAAGCTTGAGATGTTTCTCCCATGACCTTTTCAAATGATTCCAGTAGAAGGCTAGGCTCCTTAGCTACTTAAAATCAGAAAATAGATGGGTATTACTTCCCTACTCAAAACCACTCTCATGGTAGCTAGGTTAGTGCAAAAGTAATTGCTATTTTGGTAAAAAACAAAAAACAAAACAAAACCGTAATTACTTTTGCACCACCCTAACAGATCTGATAAAACCAGGAGAATGGAAACCAGGAAAGGCCCTGAGAAGTGTGCTTTTAAGGAAACTGGAGCCCCCGGTGTCTGGATTCTGCCCATGGGGCACCATCCACAGCCAGGTCCCTGCCTGCACAGACAGGAAGGAAAAGAGGGGCACTTCACAGGGTGCTAAAGCCTCTCAGCAAGGGGCTCAAGTCAGGGAAGGCTTTCCAACAAAGTAGCCTGAAGGGCAAGGTGTAATTTACATTTTTGTTTTAGCTCTTAGAGAGGTTTGGTTTCAAGGCAGGACAGACACATAAAAACCATTTGACTCCCTCAGGCTTAAGGGTGGGGCAGGGGCCACAGGCTGGGCACATGAACCCCTAATGACAGAGGTGTACGTTACTTCTGAAATGCAGAAAATGAAATCCCTAAGGACTATACTGGGGATACACTAGGGATTAAAAAGAAGCTCCCATCCAGCACCCCCTCCCTCCTGTCCAAATGACATTTAACACCAAGTTACGCTGACACGTAGATTATTAGAAGTGTATTTGAAGTCAATGTTAAAAAGTTAGTACTGGACCATTTCAATTCTCTTCAAAACACAGCACGGACTTACAATGGAGTTTTCGGTGTGCCTCCACTAATCCTGTTACCACATTAGAAGACAAAGATAGAATTTGTTCCCTTGGCATTCACTGGTTGCCATAGAAATAACATCAAAATGCATTATACTTTCAGGTGAAGAAATGCATCATGGGTGCTGAAAAAGAAAAACCCTCATCAAATCCACTACAAACTCAAACCCCTTTAATAATAAATGGGTGCAAGTACCCACCCAGAACAACACCCAAACAGAAGTGTTCCAGGCCTGGGGAAGCAATTTCATTCATTTCAAGATACAAAACACCAACCCACAGAAAGATGCTCTGGGCAAACAGCTAATCTGGCCATGTTGGGACTCTGCCTCAGATGGTAAAGCTTCACAACACATACACCCGCTTCTCAAAGCCTGCAGTTTTCACATTTCCAGGTTGTTCCATTCTTGTACCCACATGTATGAAAACATAAGTGTAGCCCCCTTCTTCCTCATAAACATATGCTCCTCATGAGTTGGGTTCACTATCTCTAGGGGATGATATACAGGCTATTATAAATTTGATTTTAACCCAGGGAAAACATTTGAGATGTTTTAATAATAAGCGTGCATTATAAATGAAGAAGAAAAA